TAAGTCCACTTACTCCATAGCCACAAACACATACGCATGCCAAACAAATTCATAATATGTCCAAAATAATATTAGGACTTTCTATTGAAAGAGATCAAAGCATAGTGCGTGAACAATGATCGTGAACAGTAATCGTGAACAGTGATCGTAAACAGTAATAGTGAACAGTAGTTATAAACAGTAATCATAAACAGTAATCATGAACAGTAATCCGTAAATAACACAATTTACTTATAATTCCTGCAGCAAAATTCACATCCAAATCAAACAATAAAAAGGACTAACTCACTATTTTCCCCATATAAGCCCCAAAATTAAGGATATTGCTAATAAAAGTTTAATACCCAAAAATCTTATAAACTAAAGGATTAAAATCAAATCTCACAAATTTAAACTACCCAAAACTCTAACCCAAAATTCATAACTAAAACTTATACTTACCTAACAAAAGCACCTTAACCTTGGAGAAAGAAGGAAGAAAGGATGTAGGTGGAAGAGGAAGGCGTGGGAAAGCAAAATGGGGCTTTTGGGAGCCTTATGGAGGCTTATCCAAACTTCCACCGCCAAAGAAAAAAAACTTGGTTGGGACAATGCCATGTGTTAAGTAAAATTGGGATAATTGAGTTATGGTCATTCAACTTTTACTAAGTTTTACTTAAAACCCCCAAACTTTAACTTCAATCAATTTAATCCCTAAAACTATAAACTAAAGGACACTAATTTTTAAATTATTCACTAAGGTATGTGGGGTGTTACATCTTATTTCTTTTACCTTAGATTGTTGGCAAATTTGCACATTTTCTTTATCAAAAGTCTAAATTATATATATGAAAAAATTATGAGTATATGTGGTAAAATAAGAGCATTTACATGCCTTTAATATATTCAGTCAAACAAAAAATATATAATTTTAATAGACACATAATAAGGGGGGAGAGAGAAAGAGAGAAATTGAAGTAAAAAAAGTATGTAATAATAAATAGAGATACAATGAATGATTAAAAAAGAACAATATTAGGGGAATAAGGATAATGGGGTAAAGATGGAGCAGAAATGAAATCAATAGTATCCGGATAAACGGGCAGCAGTATACAGGAGTGGAGGTAATGAAGCGAGAGGTTGCTAAGTACTTCCAAGAATTGTTTTCAGAAGAAAAATGGAGGAGACCAAAGCTCGATGGAATTTGCTTTAGGCAAATCTTGCAATCTGATAATGAGTTCCTCACTGCTAATTTCTCAGAACAGGAAATTAAAGAAGCAATATGGAATTGTGATCCTTCTAAATCCCCAGGACCAGATGGATTCAACTTCAGATTCATTATGACAATGTGGGAGGTTGTTAAAGATGATATAATCAACTTTGTACGGGAATTCCATCAACATGGCAAGATGGTCAGGGGGTCAAATGCCTCTTTCATTGTGCTAATTCCAAAGACAGAAAATCCACAAGCAATAGAGGAATTCAGACCCATTTCGCTAATAGGAGTCACTTACAAGATCATGGCAAAGTTATTAGCGAACCGACTACGGAAAGTGCTGCCGAAGGTGATTGGGGAGCAACATATGGCTTTTATAGAAGGAAGGCAGTTAGTAGAAGGGGCAGTGATTGCAAATGAGATTCTGGACGAAGTTAGGAGGAAAAAGAAGAAGGGATTCCTTTTTAAAGTCGATTTCGAGAAAGCTTACGACAAAGTAAACTGGGAATTCATAGACTACATGATGATGAGAATGGGGTTTTGTGCAACTTGGAGGAAATGGATTCAGGAGTGCTTGAATTCGAGCTCGGTCTCTATTTTAATCAATGGCAGCCCGACGAATCAATTTCCGGTTAATAAAGGTATCCGTCAAGGTGATCCTTTATCTCCTTTCCTATTCTTGATTGTGGCAGAGGGGCTGAACGGATTAATGTCATCGGCAGTGGATACGGAGAGGTATAAAGGAGTGGGCATCGGGAGTGGAGATACAATGGTCACACACCTCCAATTCGCGGATGACACAATCTTCTTTGGGGATGCAACAGAGGACAATATTAGGGTGATCAAATGCATTATGAGAACATTCGAGTTAGCCTCAGGACTGAAGATTAATTTCGGAAAGAGTCAGTTGATTGGTGTGGGAGTTGATCAGAGTTGGAGTGCTAAAATGGCATACCTATTGTGCTGCAAGGAAGGGAAATTGCCATTCAAGTACTTAGGAATCCCTATTGGCGGGAATCATAGAAGAAAAGCCATGTGGCAGCCTATGGTGGAGTCGGTTAGAAAGAAGTTAGCCAGCTGGAAGGGGAGGTATCTATCGATGGGAGGCCGCATCACGCTTATCAATTCAGTGCTGTCAAGCCTACCGGTGTTCTTGATGTCTGTCTTTGTTATCCCAAAAGGTATAATTCATTCCATTGACAAACTTCGAAAAAGCTTTTTATGGGGAGGGAAGGGAGAGGAGAGAAAAATAAATTGGATTAGTTGGGATAGAGTGTGTAAAAAGAAAGAGGAAGGAGGGCTAGGAGTGAGGGATTTGAGAAAATTCAACTTGGCTTTGATGGGAAAATGGTGGGGAAGGCTTG